TTAGTTAATAAAATATTTAGAGGATAAATCAACACATCCTCACATTTGAAAAGCTGCAACAATTTTACCTTTCTGCAAAAAAAGAAACCAGTTTATCCATTAATTAACTGATTCAGCTCCAAGCTTGTACATACTGTTGGGTAGTTTGGATCATATTTAATTATAAGCTTCATATGTTTTATATTAGGACCCCCAATCAGGAAAACAATGTAAAACTGAAAACGGTGATTTGTAAATCATCTATATAGTGTATTACATTCAAAACAATAAAGCAGCACACTTGATGTTATACCTCTTCAATCAAAACAAACACTTCAATTCTGATGCCTGCAACACATTCCAAAGAAGTTGGGGCAGTAAAGCTTTTACTACGGTGTGATGTTGCCGTTCCTTGTCACAACACCTAGAAGACGTTAGGGGCTGAGGACACCAAGTGATTGCGTCAGTTTTAACTGGCATTTATGTAACCAAGTATTATGGTGCCTGACACAGGTGTGCCAACGTAATCCTGAGCCCATGTGGTTATATCGCTTATAGAAGAGTGACGAATCTTGATGCAGTGGGTCTGAGGGATCGGAGAGCACGGTCATCTTGCTTAGGCTTGCGCCCTTTACGCACTAAAATCCGGGTTGGGGGCCTTTTGTAGGGTCACCACAGTAGTGTTACTGATGTTGGGGTAAGTAATGCTTTGTCACCTGCCCCACCCAGATTTAATCCTGCCAGTCCAGGAACTGGGCCTGTGACCTCCCAGTCACAAACTTATATTAGGACCCCCAATCAGGAAAACAATGTAAAACTGAAAACGGTGATTTGTAAATCATCTATATAGTGTATTACATTCAAAACAATAAAGCAGCACACTTGATGTTATACCTCTTCAATCAAAACAAACACTTCAATTCTGATGCCTGCAACACATTCCAAAGAAGTTGGGGCAGTAAAGCTTTTACTACGGTGTGATGTTGCCGTTCCTTGTCACAACACCTAGAAGACGTTAGGGGCTGAGGACACCAAGTGATTGCGTCAGTTTTAACTGGCATTTATGTAACCAAGTATTATGGTGCCTGACGCAGGTGTGCCAACGTAATCCTGAGCCCATGTGGTTATATCGCTTATAGAAGAGTGACGAATCTTGATGCAGTGGGTCTGAGGGATCGGAGAGCACGGTCATCTTGCTTAGGCTTGCGCCCTTTACGCACTAAAATCCCTCCAGATTGAATCTTATAATTATGTTATGCACCATAGAGAGTGACAGATCCAAATCTCTTCCTATTTTTCTTTGAGGAACATTGTTTTTAAACACTTCAATAATTTTCTCACACATATGTTGGCAAACTGGTGGTCCTCGGCCCATCTTTGCTCTTGGATGCCATTTTTGTACCAAGTCATGATCGCAGTCACCTGTCGACATCACCTGTTTCAAATGGAATCATCATTTCATTGTTTTACCTCATTACTGGCCCTGAAATGCAACTGTCCCAACTTTTTTTAGAATGTGTTGCAGCATCAGAATTGAAGTGTGTTTGTTTTGAACAAAGACTAAAATTGATGAGGCGTCACATAAAATCATGTGATGTATTGTTTTCAACGTAATACAGGACACAGGTGATTTACGCATCACTATTTTCAATTTTAATTTTGATTTTACCTACTGTCCCATTTTTTCTGATTTGAGATTGTAAAAAAGAAAAAAAAATAACCTGTAGCTAAACTAGCAGTAAAATAGTGGAGTAAAATCTACATAATTTCCTTCTGAAATATCGCAAAGTTGACATATAAAGTGGCATAAAATGAAAACACCCTTAAGTTCAGCATTTGACTAAAAGTAATTGTATGAGTTTCTTTATCAGACTTTAATATATAGATTTGTACGCACTTCACCAGCAGATGGTGCACATACTTCAGCCCTCACAGTTGAATTCTGTTCTAGATTCTTGAAATGGCAAACTTTACTCGGTTTCCCTGCGTCTTATATGAGTAAAAACGGGACCATTCGGGTCTCTAAATGTGCACGATCGATTACAAACTATAGACGGCAAGATTTCAGGCTCCTCTGTGAATAAGCATCCCTCCGTACAGCGCCTGTCTGCGCACAGGCTGCACAACACATCACTGTGAACCCGAGGAAGAGCAGCTGGTCTCCGACATGGCTAAAGAAGGAGCAGATATGACAGAGGAAACCGAGTGCATGATAGACCGAAATGTGGGGAAAGCAACAGAAAACGTAGAATCGTCTGGACATGCCAAAGAAATGCGAGCGGTGATGCTGGCAGGATTCGGAGGTCTTAACAAACTCAGGGTAACCAAGAAGGCAATGCCCGAGCCTCAGGATGGTGAAGTGAAGATCCGCGTTAAAGCATGGTAATTATGAGAATATCAGCAGGCAAATAGATTGTATATATCCTTAGGGCTTGTCATCTGACGCTATATTCCCAGTATTTTGCTTGGTGAATAACAGTTTATTGGAGAATTTCCTTTCCTGACGCTACAGGTCTTTTTTACTACGGGAGGTTGGCTGGCTGATCTGGGTCTAAGCAGCATTTTTCAAGCAGATTCAGTCATTTTAAATTACGAAATCTGTTTTTTAACCGCAGCATTGATTATCTCGCTTCGTTTCAGCTTTTACCTGAGTCATTACCAGTGCTGGCAAACTCGCAGTTTACAAAGATTGAAGTGGTTTCCATCTTATTTAATGGAGAATGTCTTTTGAATCTGGCCTTGTATTCACAGAGGAGTAGCCAGTGACTCACCACTGTCAGTCACTACATCTCTAAGCAGCTCAAATATTTCTATTAATGATTAAATTGCTGTTGCTGGACAGCAACAAACAGTAAGACTGGACTCATTCTTTGTTGCAGTGGCTTGAATTTCCTGGACCTGATGGTACGTCAGGGGACTATTGATAATCCTCCTAAACCTCCTCTTGTCCCTGGGTTTGAATGCTCTGGAATAGTAGAGTCACTGGGTGAAAACACAAAGGGATTTGAGGTTAGTGAAGTCCCAGGTTGTCACTGTGGCATTGTGTAACTAAATGTTGCCAGTTTCTGAGTCTTTATCAACAAAACTGGAGTTGTAAACAAAAGTGGATTCATGAGAAATGAGATAGAGAGTTAATCCATAGCTACTGTTTAAATCACTTGCTCCTTAGTGTCACATGATTGCTTCATCCTAATTATTCTGCTAACATGTCTCTTTCAGATAGGTGACAGAGTTATGGCTTTTGTGAATTACAATGCTTGGGCAGAGGTGGTTTGCACACCAGTGGATTTTGTCTACAAGATGCCGGATGAAATGACTTTTGCTGAGGCCGCAGCGTTCTCCCTGAACTTTGTGGCTGCATATATGATGCTCTTTGAGGTTGCCAATCTGCGGGAGGGGATGTCAGTGTTGGTCCACTCAGCAGGAGGTGGTGTAGTAAGTCAATTTTTTCTATAATTACTGCACAAACAAGCTTAGCTGTTTTTCATCAAATTCTCAATATAACTGACAGATTTACACCCACATATAGGCTGTTTTTTCTCTGTTGTTTATGTCACGGTGAAAAATGAAAATATACACTCTGTAAAAACTGTAAAACTGTAAAACTCCGTAAACATCCTCTATAGTGATTACAGTTTTCGAATGGCTGAAGTAATTACTGAAAAATGGTCAGTATTGTTGAGTTATAACTAAAATAACCGAAGGCATTATAACCATGAATACTTTTTTGTGTTTTGGTACATTTAGAATGAACCTCTGTGTTCTCATGCTGATAAATTGTTGCTACAGTTTGTTTTTTTTCCTTATTTTCAGGGTCAAGCTGTGGCTCAGCTGTGCTCCACTGTACCTAATGTCACTGTGTTTGGAATTGCTTCATGTTTCAAACACACAGCCATCAGAGACTCTGTGACTCACCTGTTTGACAGAAATGTTGATTATATACAAGAAGTCAGAAAGTAAGCGTGAAAGGTTTTTTGTACTATGGTTGATTTTAGGCTGATGGATCTGTGTTTACTTCCTCTTGAAGTAATTTGGAAACTTTAATTTGTTAATGGTTAAAATATGATTGAATTTGACAGGTTTGCTGTTGCGTGCTTTAAATGTGAACAAATATGATAGCATGGACCTCATTGAGTGGAGAGGGCTGTGTGAGGGTGCCGATATTACCTGTTGCCTTATTTGGTCTTCTGTGGTCACGGTACCCATGGCAACTCACAGCTCATCTCAGAGAGCAGCAGCACTGCGTAGGGCAGAGGTCTGCTCTGGCAATGTGGAACAAATGAGCCAATTAGAGCTGAGCATTGATACCCTACATGTTTCACTCACAATGCAGGACACTGTCAGCCAGTTTGCACTACAAAGAAAACACCCTGTAGCAAATGCTGCCTGAGATTTGATGCAAAATGCACAGGTTTACTGTAATAATGCTGTAAAGTTCTTTTTCTAGAGATGTCACAAAGCTTTTTATTATTTTATGAACTCCATCTTCACATGATCTCTGCCATTTCACAGAGTTTTAGTAGTAATTACCCATCATTTGGCGCTATACTGTTTAGTCATTAAACCATGGTACACCAATCAGCCATGACATTATGACCACCTGCCTAATCCTGCCTACACAGGAGTTGGGTCAGCTGTTGGTTGGCACTCGTGTCACTCTGAGGCTCACAGCCCCTCTTGTGTGAATCTCTTTCTTTCTGTAGTTATACTGTCAGGAAGAACAAGAATTTGTCTCTCATTTAGTGATAAAATTATGTTGTGGTCACGAGGACAATTTGGAGATCTTTTTTTTTGACAAATTCAACAGTAGGTGTGAGACCACCACTATAGCTGCTAAATGTTTCACTTAGAGAGCAGTGTTTCTCATTTTCGTGCCATTGTGATGAGATAATGTTCTTTACTTAACCTGTCAGTGGTCATAATATTATGGCTGATCGCTGTATGAAGTATGCTGTATAACTATATTCAGCTATCAGATCACATGGGGATTCTAATATATTTACATTGGCACCGATTGTTTCATGTGCTCTGTGAATATATCAGCAATAGTAGTGGATTAATGTGCCTTTCATCCCTCTGGCCCACACATTCTTCTCAGGATCAAAAGCAAAGTACAATTAAATTAGTGTTTTTACAAAAGGCAAAAACCATGGGAATCACAAGACTGCCAAGCCGTTTAGCCAGGCAGCTGTCCAGGGTCACAAGGCAGAAAGTAAGGAATTAAGGTCCCCTTGACAATAACATACCTTTCATTCTTTCAGAACCGTACCTCTAATGAGTCTCATTATGGCAAACCTTTTTGTCTGAATGATTCTCTGTGTGATAAGAACATAAACCTTTTGTAACATACAAAATGTATTATTGATGAGGAATAATGTGGGCATTGTAAAACATCAATAATCTCTTTATATGAGAAACTGTAGGCAGAGTGAATTGAAAAATGTGGGTTGCACTGTTTTCTTTAATCCTCCAGAGAATAAAAAACTCATTTTATGAATCCATGATTAGACAGAACCTGAAGCTGCTCCAGACTATGAATCACAGGCTGAATCCACTCACTGGCCACTTTATTAGGTACACCTGTACAGTTGTGTGCAATTCAAAACAACACTTCTGCCTTTACATCTGTGTTTATGAAGTCCAAACTTTGCATACAATTGTAAAGCGGCTGGTGAGTGTGTTTAGCACTTTTACATTTAGAGCACACCATCATAAACAAGGTAATACAGCCATATTACTGCCAATGTTTGACGTTGGCCTTGACAGATGATTTTTCAAGTTGGTTAGACAAAACAAGACATCAGAAGTCATTGTCTTGGGCTCTGAAAAACTGTTTTGAGCATATTCTCCAATTTTGTGGCATTTGATGGACCAAACAACAATCAAAAATGAAAATAATCATTACCTGCAGACTCAGGACTATACATTAGTAAGTGAGCTTATATAAATCTTATTTTAGAGGAGTCACTTTGTTTGTGATGTTTTAGGATTTCTCCGCAGGGAGTCGACATCTTGTTGGACTGTCTGTGTGGGGAGAACACAGGAAAAGGCCTGAGTCTCCTGAAGCCATTGGGAACATACATCCTCTATGGTGGGAACAATACTTGTGCTTTTGCTGTGTGTTAATGTAACCTTTGCCTTTGCATTTTGTACCTTGTAAGTTAAAATGACTAAATTTGCAGCATATTAGTGGCAATTTTAGCTGATTTGCTTAACTTTGAAGTTAATATTAGCATTTAAAGGAATAGTTTGACTTTTTGGGGAAAGCGCTTTTATGTTTTTATGCCAAGGGTTAGATGAGAAGACTGGTACCACACATATATCTGTCCAGTAAATATGTTTGAGACAGAGAGCTTAGCTTAGCATAGTTGCCTGATGACATAAAGATTTCAGGAAGTCACTTCTCCTAAATAGTCTGGCACATTTAAACCCTTAGTTCCATGAAATAATAAACCATGCATTATTAAGATTCAAACTGTTTATTTTGTGTAAAAATGAGACACATTTTTTAGCTAACTTTGGCTGCGCTTCTTATTTACTCCTGGCTGGGGCACCACTGCTGCACAGTGGTCACAATTAGACCACAATAGGCAACAATTTGTTATTGTTTTTCATTCTTCATTCATTAATACTGACAGGCATCACATTTCGACTTAGGAAGGGGTAGCACCAGGGGTGGCCAATCAGAACCAGGCTAGCTGTCTGCATTCTTAAACTAAGCATACTGTGTCCTGGTTGTAGTGTCATTTTTAACAGACAGACATGAGTGTGGTATTGATAATCTTATCTAAGTGTCAGTAAGAAACTGAAAAAGCCAGTTCCCGTTAATGTTGAACTGATCTCTTAAAGACAGACCTTGCATTTATGCAATGTGCTGGTAGCTGGACAGGGTGTGAAACAGCCCCTTGAATAAAACATACACTGATAGTCTGAAAATGAAATGTATTGTCCTTCACAGCTGCTATTGTTATCTCATCTTTGTTAATTACTTTAGGTCTTGAATTAATCAAGTAACAGCATTAGAAGGACTTTAATTTATTAATTTTATATGCCTGCACAGTTCTAAGGGTCTAAAGGTGCTAACTGTTCCCATCATGTTTCTTGACTGCCTATCACTAACCAGTCACTTTGGTCCATTCTTTTGCAAAACATAGAGCAATCCTTTTATTCTTGTCTTTTTCAGGCGCGTCACACATGGTAACCGGGGAAACAAAGAGTTTCTTCAGCTTTGCAAAATCTGTGAGTCAGAGACGCAGTCTGTCTACAAACTTTGAACGAAACTATACCCTGTTACTTCCCACTGAACTTTTAATTGAAATTGAAACACACACAAATAAGTCACTCAGGATGTACCTGTGTCTCTGTGGGGTTTTTTTCTCCAGTGGTGGCAGGTGGAGAAGGTGAACCCTATTAAACTATATGAGGAGAACAAAGTCATAGCTGGATTCTCGCTCCTGAACCTCCTCTTCAAACAGGGGAGATGTAGTCTTGTGAAATCAGTGATGGATAAACTCTTGTGTCTCTACGATCAAAAAAAGATCAAGCCAGTAGTGGACTCCCTGTGGGCGCTGGAGGAGGTAAGTGCCTGGGTTGATCAGAGTCTGTAAGAGAGTGTGGACAGTAATCAGATTCAACATGACAGTGGCAACATGAATGATTTAAGCAGAGATTTTATGCAGACATCTTGGACAGTATATGATCTGTTGTTTGTCATCGCTGCTTTCTGTGGGACTTTGTCATCTGTTCTTGAACGTTCTTCCACAGATGGTGGGTAGGTTGCTTCTTCCTGTTCCACAATAATTTCGCACCCACATAAAACTCAAGAGGCCATACGTCAATCACTTCACCCTTCAATTTCTACAAACCCTTTAGATCTCACTTAAAGTGTTTTTATCACATTTCTCTGGGAATCCTTTTACAGTAGATGCACACCTTTTCTAATCACAATATTTACAGTATTGGCTTTGTATCAGTTATGTACTGTAGCATTGTTAAGAATACACTGAAAACAAACAAAATGTAGTTACCTTATGTTGCTGCTGTTGCTGTTTGTATTGCATATGAAATCTCCACAGCACTTTTTCTCTTATGTCTTATTCTAGGTTGTTTCTTGAATTAGATTATTATTAAGTACCGAAAGCATTTTGAGTCAGATTACCTTCTTGCCAACAATAGCCACTTTTCACATATCCATCAACAAGTAGTAGTGTGATGTGTAATTACTTGTGAGCGTGGCCAGGACACAGCTGATGTGCAGCGTCTGTTGCAGTCCTCGGTATCTTATAATTCACTGTGTGCTTTCCAGCTGCTTTATGTCTGGTTTAGTCAGTCTTCTTTAACTTCTAAGACAGTGTCACATTTATCAGGTATTTATGTTCAGGTGAACATCACTAACTAGTAAACAAGGCCTAGAAAAGGAAGGGTTGCCTTTATAAGATGAGAAGGGACATTCTCGCAGAGTGTAGTGTCTCATTGGACCACAGCTGATGAGGTTAGGGCTAGACTGTCTCAGAGAGTTAGACATGTAGACAGAGATGTCACCTTTGAAACTTGACCAGATTTCTTCTTTGCTTTTAATGTTTGTATATTTTCAAGGACCTTCTGTGGGCCCTTATCTCTTCACGTACCTTTGTCTAATGGAAAAAATTTTAAATAGAATAGAACCAGGGTACTCTTTGCATAAACATGAACCACATGCAGAATATTGGTAACCTTTTTGACATCCCTACTTTGGCCAGATACTGGATTGATTAGTTTTATCACATTCAGAGTGGGAAAGGTTACATTGTCGTTGTTATTGGTTCATACATTTTGATGACATTGTGTGAAATCTAGCATAAATCAAGGCTCATCCTTGGCAGCAGGAAATTGCCCATAACTATAAGCCACAGTTGTAGAGTGAAAAAAGTAAAAATCACTCTGTTGATAATGACATTTTATCTTCATTTTTAGTGGCTAATTATGGCTTAAGGTACAGTTATGACCCAGTCTTCAGCATCAGATTTTACCTGAAAGCGATTTGTCTAACAGTTCTTCAGTGATATCAAAATGTATCTTAAACATCCTCTACCTTTACAAGTAAAATATTTGGAAATTGTTTCACACCAGTATTTAGGTAAAAGCAGAGGCAGTGCAGATAATACACGACAGGAAGCTGATTACAAGTTATTCTGAGCACTCTGTCTGCGCTCACAGAGAGAATATGTTGATGAAATGATTGCCTTCTTCAGATTTTCATTTCTCATGGGAAACCTCCCTCATCTTGGTGTCATTAAGCTTTGGCAGATTGCTCAGGCCATTCAGTGGAACCATCGGCCATGAAGAATCTCATTAACAGGGAGGCTGACATGGGAGATAGTGTCAGAGCACAGTCTGTCTCATTTGGAAGGAGAATTCAGAGGGCGTTAGTTTACATGTTGACCATGGCGACCTCTTTTTCTGGAATGAAAAGTTGGAGGATATGGGTGACTGGAACCGAATAACAAGAGGATTTCAGATTACCAACAGTTTCAGTGATGAAAATATACATTTTTCCCTATCACTTTTACTAGAAAATAAAAGTGAGCCTAATTATGGTATCTCATGGTGATTATAGTCACTCAAATACAAGTGGCACTTATCCCCACTCTTCTGCAAATTTGCTCCCTAGCAGTACAGTGCTAATTTTGCTCTTTGCTTGATTCCTTTTAACAACTGAATGCTTGTCATAAAATAGCTTCCAGGCAAAGAGGCACACTGTATTGTAATGAGAAAGCAAACTATGGCATCCTGATTAATGTTTTTGTGATGTGTAAAGAACAATTTATTAAGGCGGACAGGCTTTAATGAGCAGCACTGATGTTTCACTGTACATATTTGAGCTGCTAGTTAGGTTTGTTAGGCATAAAGAACTGTTTGTTGATCTTATGAGAACTATAAAATCCAGAAATTGTCTCATTTAAAGTTTGAGCCATTGTTGTGGGGTTTTCATAGCCAGTTTCCTCTCAGTGCCATTTAGAGCAGCCAACATGAGTTGGCAAATGTAGTTTTGTACAGCACACTATGGCTCCAGTCATCACATTATGGTTAGGTATTCATTATTTTTATGCAAATGCAAACAGTGCAGACTCCACTTTGACTCTACCAAGATGCAGTCACTGGGATGTTGGTGGCAAATTGAATCTTTTAAGCTGTGGTTTTGAAAAAAGTCATGAAAATGATTTGCCCCACCTCTCCTATTCCCCCACCACTCTGCTTGTAGCAATAAGATAGTAGTTGATTAACATATGGACCAAAACTTGATTTTCTCAAGCTGATAATTAACTGGTCACACAGCCTTGTACGATTCTGACAGCTTGTCTTACTCAGTTATGTCCACGTGGCAGTAACACTGGGATGAGGTTTGTTGATTTTGAATCAAATCTCAGCCAATAAAACATATTGTGGACAGACGTTTCCACAGGCGTCCTCTTGGCAGAAGCCCAGCATTCATTTTTGTGCAGATGGATCAAAAGGCCTACCTGCAGATCTTGTTTTTGTAGGCTGTGACATTGTTTAAAATTGTATAATAATATATGATATCCTCAGGCAAGCTGCATAAACATTCATTATCATTCATGCCATTTATTTGTTGTTAACTTTAGCCTGCCTAAAGCTGGTCAATCATGTCTCCTACACAAAACGCCACCTATATTATTCCTGCAGGTAAAATAAAGCAGTGTACTTGTGTGATTAATATAAGCCTTCTTGGATCACTATGGCAGTGATGTGTTCAGTCATTGCCCAGTAGGGTGAGGTTGGTCTCAGTAAAGTTCACTGAACACAGTGAAGAAAGAAGCAAAATGTATTATATGTTAAAATAAAATAACAAAAATTAAACATCTGTCTGTTTACACTTTCATTTGTGTTTCATTTTTCACTTACTGTGGTAAAAATAAGAGTTATTATTTTATGAGATTTCATTTGTCATATCACGTATGATGTCTATATCTTCAGCTTGATGGAATTTAATTATTGTTTTTTATTCTCAGGTAAAAGAGGCCATGCAGAGAATTCACGATAGAGGCAACATAGGAAAACTCATTCTCGATGTTGAAAAGTCTCCCACCCCTCTGGTAACAATTGAATTTGTTTCTTTTCCTTCTTACTTACAGGAATGGACTTATCTGAAAGGGTACATCAACAGACATGGTTGTGAAGTAGCTGGATCTTGATGTTTAGAGTTTTCTTTTATGATAACTGTTGAAAACGTTTGTCATTTTTAGACAAGCCAATGGAATAGGACTTTACATCTTTTACAGTAAGAGTGGATGATGAATTGATTTCAGGGTAACTAATGTAACTTGGCTGTCTGTGTACCATCATGTACTGTAATATAAAAATAGAAACACACAAAATTTATTTATAAATTGAACAGGACACACACACACTTTATACACTTAAAATGTCACAATCAACACATGAAAGTATCATTTACAGGTAGTTTCCAGCTTGCTTTATTTTGTACAATATTATTATTATCAGCATGACCAGATGAGATAAAAAAAAACTCTTTCAGCAGGTTTTTCATAGATTAAGAAATGGTATTTGTTGATCAAAAGTTACATTTTACATTTCTGATGCCTACTGCACATTTTCAGGTCAGGCCAGGGTCATATGGAGGCAGTGAGTAGGACTTCCTCCTGTTTTTATAGCAGTCGTTTCCATGGTGATCCCAACATAAACCTAATAAAACTACAAGATGTGTAGACACGCTGATACCGAAAGCATAGGCTATATACAGCTAAGGGCCCTTTTACCCATTTACTGAACCACTTAATGTCAGCTTGTATGCTCACCCGTGTCTTTCTGTATGCGTAGCTCAATATACAGTTAATAACAGCTGAAGAAAAAAATGTTATCACTAGATGGCCAGCGACAGTACGGAGACCAGTGAAGCAGGAGAAGAAGAAGAAGAGCCCGAGGGAGACAATGACAGCAAGGAGCGAATGCCTTTCATCCATTAAACCCAACACACCTTGCTATGACTTGCCTAGAGACTGGAGAGGCTGCGCATGCACAGCAGAAGAACACATCCACACACAAGTGTTGTGCAGTATGTGTATGCATGTGCTGTAAGCATGAATGTACAGTGTGTATGTAGACTACATGTTTGTGCCTCTTGTTGATTACCTATTGTTTGTCAGTTAAATGGTCAAGCTTCATTTTTGGTTAAATGAGGACTTACTGTACAATATGTTTGTCACACAGGCAAGAAGTGCGAGAGCATTTCTCCAAACAGTATTATTACATTCTTTAATGTTTTATGAAGAAATGTTATGCTAGGCTTAATGTGTATATGTTTGTGTCCATTTTACAGTTAATTACATTTACCACTAGTTTATTGAATTGAGTAAGCATTTAAATTTGCTAACTTGCGATTATCACTTTAAGATTAGTACCCTTATAAATAGATTTGTTGAAGCACATATGTGTCCACAAGGAAAAAAAGTGTAGTTTAATTCACACCTGTCCTCAGCGATGACAGCTGTGAAATGAGACCAAACAATAGACTTAAGCTTGAGAAAATGACCCCAGCGTTTTGATGCAGCTGGCCAAGATAGTGCATCACTCTCTCATGTTACTATGGTAATGTTTAAGCCAGGAGAAGTAGACATTTGTAATATTATGAAATCACCAGTGCCTTTGAGCTGCAATCGAGGGTTTGATACTTGAAATGCCTTCCTCATGTCAAGTTCACATTGAACATACTAACAAAAAAGGAATGTGTATATGGATGCATAAACTATTTTTAAAATTCTTCCTCACCTGATCAGATCATGTGTAGAAAGGTGAGTCTGTGGTGCCACTAGAGTTTATTCAGTAAGTTAATGGATTGAGAACATATTTTCCCACTAAACTACATATTCAGAACTTTTCTCTAAAATCTGTATAACATAGGGCATCATACTGTACACACCTTAAAGGGTTATGTGTATCTTAAGATAAAAAAATGCACATTTGTAAATACTGGGGTAAAACAGAAATCTGAATTTCAAAACATGAAATGTATATGTTTCAAAATCTTGCTGAATATATGTAAAAACAAAAAGTAAATCATGAAACAGACAGTCAGACCGCTTTGCTGTTGGACCAAAGTTGTTCACATGTTGGTGCCTCACAACAAAAAGTGTCATAAGTCTCCAAGATAAATTACCTTTACAGTGAGCTGGTGTATAAAGACAGAGCAAGTTAGTTTTGAGCAACACTGTGTATTACTTTATATATGATGCCTTCGACTTAATGCCGCATCTGCGAGAAGCTGAGAAGGAACAAAGGTTTTCTACACACTCACATTGACATATTCAGGTGACTGATCTCATTGAATTTTAATTTAGCAAAATAAAAACAATGCATTGTATTTTGTTTTCACTTTTTATTTGGCCTTGCTTATTCACTCATCTGAATTATTTATTACTTTGCAAAGTGAACATGAAAAAGTATTTTCTCAATTATAGAACAATAAAATAAAGTCAATATTTTGGAATCCTTCCATTTTAATGAAGTAAAAAGTATATCAACTTATCCACAACAAAACTAACAGTAGTAAATGTTTCATGCTTTAAAGGTGATTGATAGATAGCAGAGAGACTGTGTTAATGAGTGTATTACAGTAAAGTGATGAATCATTTAGAAACTGATTTCTAGACTTGGAAATAACAGCAATGACGAACTGAAAAAAACCTTAGAAAAAATCAACTGGACTTAGATTTCTAGAAATGTTTTCTAGAAATCTAAGTCCAGGTTTTTTCAGTTCACTATGATCTGGATGACTGAGAATCTGCACAGACAACAGTAATGACATGTAGACACTGAAAATGCATCTCAGTTTTGATGTCAGGCTTGTTTGTGTGTGTGTGTGTGTGTGTGAGAGAGAGAGAGAGAGAGAGTGCATGTTTTAAAGTATGCATACGTGTGTGTGCCCGCCCTTGGTATTACTGATATTGTGGGAATTTGGCCTTCCTCATGGGGATCAGAGGCTGATCCCCAACATGTAATCCATTGAATTTTAGGGTGACAACATGGTTTAAGGTTAGATGTTAGGGTTAAAATTAGGCATTAGAGTTAGGGTTAAGTAAGTAGTGGTTATATTTAAGGTTAGGAAAATCTCTAGGAAATGAATGTAAGACCATGTAAAGTCCCCACAACAAATGAAAACACAGTTTGTGTGTGTGTTCATGTAGCCTAAAAACCTCATCTTTAAAGAAGTGTTTAGTATTATAATCTGTTCACAAAATTCCTTGTAAACGGGTTTACCTGTGGACATAACATTGTTGTCACGTTATTGTGTACCTTCTTTGAGTACAGCTCTCTTTACTTGAATAAATGTATGTGCAAAGTATTGTGCTTTCTCTTATTTCAATGCCTTGAAATTTACCACACTTTAATCTAGAAAATATTTTACTTATGTGGAATATGTATTGTTTAGTACAGCCCTAAATGAAAGATCATGTTCAGAATGTGAAAAGTATGAAACGGGAAAACGCCAAAGTTGAGCTGGTTTTGCTATATTAAGCCCACTCCTCCCAACTGTATACAACATCTTACTCTAAAAATAACTTTGCCTCCACCTTGACGTCCCTGGGTCTAACAGCAGTTTTATTTTTAAGGCTTACAAGTGGAGGTTTATGTGATTGAAACAACATTGACAGTGTACAGGAGGCAGCAACATTTACTCAGTTACTACTTAGTGTATCTTCACTGTTTTCAATAATGTTAGCACCAAGGTTTAACATTATGTTTTACTTGCCAAAAAATGACTTTGCATGTCCAAAACTGATAGAATGAAGTACACTGTAATAGTGAAGTGTCAATGAATTTCCAGTTTGTTTGTGGAATGAAAGGGAATACTGCTTAGTGCCCCTTGTCCCAAGTAAATATTTATCAAAAACAGACACAAGGAAATCATTATTTTCCATTCCACCCTTATACCTCCCTCACCTCCTCATGATGTCTGGACAAAAGCAAACAGATTTGGAGCCAATGCACCAGAGAGACATACAGAGGGTCAGTATATATTGAGCTGCCCACAGTGCTTTTGCTTCCTTTCACAGCAGTATAGGGTTTGCCACTGTGTCCTGCCCTGTAGAATCCAACAGACCCAGACATGGCACGTCTGCCCCTAGTTGTCTTCCTTGTCCTTTGTTTGTCTTTGCTCCACTTCAGCTCCAGCCATCCATCTCGGACCAGGAAGGCTGTGTCACCTCATCAGTCTGGAGGTAACTATACACATCAACGGCTCAATAATAAATGCTCTGTATCCATGTTTATCTGGCCTGTCCTCCTTGCCCCTTCTTTGAGGTGCAGCTGCAGAGGAAGATGATGTGAAGTCCCAGCTTGAGAAGTTGTGGCAAGAGGTGAATTCATTGAAAGAGATGCAAGCGTTGCAAACAGGTACTGCTTTCAATAAATAAATGTAGAGGAGATGACAATAGATTGGTTAATTAGACTCATAAGCATCACTGTACACAATCTTTCAAAACAGGTAAATAAGTAAACTTATGGGGCAGTATTTGTTAATATCCTTATGGTGATTTTAGTTGTATTGCAAATATAAAAAAACATGACTCTTGGCTTTTCTCAATGATGCTGGACATTTCTAAGAAATAACTGGGAAGGAGATAACAATCATGTTAGCTAGAATGTCTTGGTGTGCTGACTCACCAACAGATGGCAGCATCATTCCTATCAGTCGTTAAAATGTAATGCTATTTTTAGAAAATGTATAAACATCTAAATTAGTTTTAAGAAAAATTTTGTGTATTTTTTACATTAGTTTTTTCTTTTGTCTCTTTTTATAATACTTATTTGATCATCTAAAAATACTATAAATGTAGCCAATTTATCTATTATTTTTATTTTTTATTAAGCTCACATTTTTCTTTCTTGGTTTATTTATTAGCCATGGTTCACACTGTGAATTCCTACCATTAATTCTACAATATGGATGCATGAACTGCCACCAATTTTGTGAGGGGAAAAGTCATTATTATTTTCCTGCAGAAATTAAATATTGCAGTTGTTCTAAACTATTTACATTACAATTTATTTCATTTCATTCATGAAGTTTTTTGTGTCTTCAGTCTGTCTCCGTGGCATCAAAGCTCACAGGAAGTGTTATCTTATAATTGAGGAGCCCAGACATTACCATGAAGCAAATGAGGACTGCATCGCACAAGGGGGAACTCTTGCAACACCACGAGACATGACGGAAAACGATGAACTGAGAGACTATGCAAAGAGGAGTGCTCCAGGATCCAAGGACTTCTGGATTGGTGTGGCAGACATAGTGAAAGAAGGCCTGTATGTCGATGTCAACAGTCTGCCAGTCAGCTACTTCAACTGGGACCGCTCCAAGAAGCAGCCCACAGGAACGAAGAGGGAGAGTTGTGTTGCTCTTTCAGTGGCCACACGAGGAAAGTGGTATGATGAGGTGTGTCGCAGCCTGAAAAAGTACATCTGTGAATATGTCATTCCTTAAGATGGTGCAAAACTGTCTTATCAAATTTCTGCCAAATCGGAAAAAAATGTAAAAATGACTTGTTATTGGCCATGTATTTTAAAATTTGTTTTATTAAAATGTATGTATTAACACTAGTGAGCAATCTATTTAATACATAAAGCCACATTATAATAAAATACATTTGACTACATAATGTAAACTTTATACAGTTCTAACTGGTGACTTTTTCATCTTGTTTGTATGAACAAAATGACACCATTATTTTCACCATTGTTTTTCTGGATTTTCTTTTCTAATTTCTTTGTGCCTTAACTGCAGGGCTAACACTCAAAGAACACCATGAAAACTATATGCAATCTGGAGTCTAGACTTGTCTTTGGAATATGGGGATAACCCTGGATCAACAAAAATAAATTTAAAAAAAACTAAGAAAGAATGTGCAAATATGCAAAAGGGACTGCTATCAAACCTTGACCCACTGAGGCTTTGGGGCCCTTGAAGAGTTGTGTACTCTATTCATTTGCTAGCATTTCCTACAGTAGCATGCATGTCAGTTTTCTTTCATCCCTTCTGCAGCCATGCATTCAAGGATTATTATGAGCCAAGTTGTACCAAAGACTAATGGGCCCCTTTCCATCTTTTACACTTTGATACAAAAAAGAATAAAGTTCAATTATTAAAGTATGAAGCAGTTCTAATTTTTTAAACCAGAAGATGTTAATGCATTGTTAAAACTGAAAACATTGCCAGACTGACCCACAAACTAAACTATTTATGCTTTTCTGTGTGTTGCTGTCACCTCTGTACTTTAAAAAAACAGTGACAACCCACTGACACTGACCGACGTCATCCTTTTAAATAGAATTTTACTTTAATTAAGAGAAAATATAACATAGGCAACAATAAACCACAGATATCCATAACAATAGTTAATAAGAAACTGAATACAAAACATTGCAATTTTATACCCAAATGACATCTAGGGAAAACAAACAAACAAAATATAAAGTACATAAACTAATTAAACTAAAATGAAATAGACAAAAATAAAGTTCTGACCGACGTCATTCTGTCCGCACGTCTGTATGGATTATGACGACAGAGCTTCCCGACTGAAGTCTCGCGGAGTAAAACACCGGCCATTTTTCTCCATTTATAGCAGGAGACACTTTGCGCTTCGGAAGTGTATCCGAGAGTGTTGCGATCACTTTTGAAAGCCTATAAGTTTTCGCAAGTTTAATTTTATTATCCAAGCATCCAGACTTACAACAAACCGAACACACACCATGTCTGTGTTTACCGCTTCAAAGTTTTTTCACTGACATTCCTTGTCCGGATAGATGCTTGTCTAAACTATCGCACAAATGGAAATGGTGCCTAGCGAGGAGAACCAGTTCGTACCAAAAGAGGTGAGGTTATTACGGACCTAGTCCAGGTCGGAGGATCAACCTCTGGGCATTAGCTGTCATTCTTGCAGACCATGCACACAAATAATGGCAAAACTTTTGCACCAGTTGGTGAATTTGCGATCTTGATCTATCATTGAGAAGCTAACTCTCATCGGCTAACAGTTAGCTAAACATGACTTGGACGGCCTATCATGACATGGCTAACTAACGTCAGAGCTAGCATCAGTTAGCAACAAGCTTCACTCAAAGTGAGTTTATGTAAGTAGCTAATGCTTTGACAGAATTATCATTAAATTATCGAACGTTAGTTTTTGAATTGGGCTTTCTGATGATTACAAACTTTAAATGTTGGGGTGGACATAATGTCAAACCCCTGAACCAATAAGGCATTTGTCAACATTATTTTGCTAACTTGTATTGTATTTATTAGCCAGCTAGCAGAATTTGGCTAGCTTGTTTTGTTAACCTCTTAGGTCTGGTTAATGGCAATGAGTGTAGCTAATGTAGATGTTTTTCAAATCGCTAATCCAAATGTAACATCAATGGAAATGACTGGCAGTGTTGATGCAACGCGGACCCCTAACGCTAGTGTTACAAATACAGTAAACATACTTTGACCCATTCTTTTCTATTTGTTCTGAATGAAACTTGTATCTTTACTGTAAATGTTAACGTTAGCTTGTGAGATTTGCCGGAATAACACGACACTGAAATTAACGCAAATGCTAGCTAACATGATGCAGGTGTGTGCAACAACACGTTGGCGTTATTTGAGTCCCCGTAATGATATCGTAGACATGTTCGCCCTTCAAATTTAGACATCCTTGACGGACTCTGCTGTCATGACAAGTTACTTAGCCTCTGCTTGTGTATTGCGCTAAGTTAGCCTTGGTATGGCTAATGTTATCGCGCAGTATGCTACATAAACAGTCCATTGATCTAACGTTACTATGCTTATTGTAGGTTACCATATGATGGTAACAGTTAGTTGGTAAACAGCGTTTTTAATATAAACGTCTTAGAGGGTCTTGTTTCCATCCTTATGTTATTTTAAACCTAAAATTACTTATATAGTGTTACTACAAGCTATGAGGACAAGTATATAATTATGGGTGTTTTAGCACTTTGGGATTTACGTCTGCGGCAGTGTCATATGTCAAGCATAGGACGTCACTTGTTTATACTGTTTAGACTGGTGGGGAAATTGGATTTGCTGATGCAGTCATGCTGCACTGCACACTTTATTTTATAGTAATATTGTAGTAGTTAGCTAAACAGCTTATTAATGGATTATAATGGATATAATTAATCTCTGCGGGACAACCCTTTATTTTTAATAAAGAGAAAGCCCTGCATTTGTTGGGACTACGAGGAAATTTGTTTGTATTGCCTGTTTTATTTGTTTGTTTATTTGGCTGTTGACTTTCAGCGCTAACACACCAACGTCCCATTCTGTTGTTTGAAACTGAAGTTTTATGTTGCCTTTTTAATGGTGATTTGCCTGTGGTTAGTTGTTTTCCCCTAGTAAATAATTAAATCAGACATATGTCAAACTGTCCTTTAAGTGCTGTTGACATGCTAGTAGGAAAGGAACACAAAACCCAGTCAACATCACTTTCCACTACTTTAGTTTTGTCGTTGAAGTTAGTGGTGAGGTTACAAGTTATTGACTAATGTTGTGGAACAAGCTCAAGTGAAGGTAGAGAAGTGTAGCTAACTTCAGCTACATTTGGCATTGATACATCTGTGAGAAGAGAGACCCAGTTAATAACACTGCAACCCTGTGACTTTTAAGATAAGTGGCTACTGAATGGCTTTGTGTTTATGATGGTTTTGCTGTGTAGATTCAAGATAACAAAACATCCTTTCCTAGTTGTTGACATACTGTATGTAAATACATGCTTAGGCTCCATTTACATTCCATCCACCTTGGGTGCATTTTGCATTCTGCATTTTGTTATTCAGAAAAGGCAGTAATAGTTAATCAACCAATTTTGCCAGTTAAAGTTTTTCACAAAAACAATTGCACCGTGTGCTACATTAATGTGACAAAATATGCTCACAACAGCTTGTTATTCTGTTATAGCACTATGTTTGAAAAAAGTTAAAGATGAATATTTTCACTTGCGTTGCATATTGGTCTCTTTTGCTTGTACGAGTCACAACAAGCCAGGGAAGATGTGGTGTTTGCCCCCACAAGTAAAATGGATTTTGTTGCAACCACTGGGCTTCCCAGAGTTGTAGTTTAAATGTTATAGGGGCTTTGCCTCATAGCAGAAAGCTGACACCACATTGTTCCACTTGCTTTGTGTTTGACTTTGTCAGTATAGCTTTTTTTAAGTGAAAGCTAAAATAGACATTTTGTAGACCTGCATAAAACCCATTTAAATTTTACTCTTGGTTTCCCTTTCATTGCAAGGTCACTGCTCTCTAGGCAAATCAGAAATTTGAGGTAGCTCATTTATTTTGTTAGCATTACATATGGCAACCAAATGTTTACTTACACTGCTGTCAACAACGAATGCTGCTGTAGATTTATAAGCCACTGTCAGTACTTGCCAAAACCATTTTTAGATGCAGTAGTCCATCCAAATCAATTTCTGATTACTTGCCAAAGTGTCAGGTTTAGTTGACAAATGTGGAGTCTAGATTAAATTTTATTTGAATTAAAGTATTGGCTATTTTAATATCACTGTCTGCATCTGTTTTAGATTTTTGTGTGCATATCATGCAGCTGTAGTTACATTGCATTCTATTAATAGATGTTCACGGATACTGACATTTCACAGGATATCGGTCATTATTATGTTATTTATTTTTTGCCATCACTGAGCTGTTTACAGTCAGAAATGTGAAGAAATACTGCCTGTGCTTTGCAGTACCTGTGTCTTCATGTCAGTGCCTTGTGATTATATCCACTTTAAAAATAACTTAATCCCATAATAGTCGTGTGATGTCAGCTGCAGCTTCTTAATAGGACCTGTCAGCCACAAACCTCACAAAGAGGTTGCAAAAACAGGAATAACTTGAATATATCCCTGTAATTATAACCCAGTATACAGCCAAGAGGTTGATTTACCAGCCAAACAGTGGTATTGTTACATGTAATCCTGCAAGTCTGCTTCATGTATTCTCAATGTGGCTAATGAAGTTTACATGGTTTACAGGTTATTTTCCTTTTGTGCGTGTTTTAAGTTGTTCTTCACCCCAGCTATTTCCACATATTACTAGGGTGTGTTTTGGAGTTGCAGACAAAGTATTTTTGATGAGATGAAGAGGCTTTCTCAGGTAGACGTGTGGTGTGGGTGAGAGCACTCACAATAACGCATGTTGCTGTATTAAATAAATGCATGACACAGTACCGTGATGACTGTCATACATGGGCAGTAAGGCACATTTTTCAGCTAGGAGTCAGCTTTGCATACATTGAAGTACCACCTTTATTTTAGTGCATGGGTCTTGCACGACCAGCAGAAGAAAAATGTATTGACTGCTACTGACATACTGGAACTTTTGTTCAATGAAATTTCTGGCCATATTATGCTGTTTTTCTATTGAAGCTAGTGCATCACCTTAAATTTTGTCAAAACAAACTCTTCCTAAATAAAACACAGTGTATAATTAACAAAATAAACATTTAAATTGGGCAGTGCCTGAAATATAATTAACAAAATAAACATTTAAATTGGGCAGTGCCTGGAAAAAAGATAAAGAATCTCATTACCGGTAATTGATAAGGATTGACATGTTTTGTGCATGCTGGCTACATCAGTGCTTGCTGAGTGAGGTTTTTTGCTTTTTTTTTTGACATTAGCTTTCACTCTGGAAATCATTGGTTCCTGGATGTCACCACCACATTTTATTGTTTAGAATTTCATTTGTCTTTCATTGACATGGAAAATCAGTAAAAACACCATTTGGTCATTTATCGAGATAATATCAAGCTATAACAATAAGTAGTAACAGTTACACAGTAGCTGCTTATTTGCATCTAATAACAAAATTTTATTTCAAGGAGGTTTCTTCAGGTTTCTTTTTTTTTGGGATGACAGTTATGAGACTGTGTTGTTTGTATGGATTCTAAAATGAGGATTGTGGTTTGATATCTTATTTTGAGAAATAGACATTTTTTTTTGCAAGTGCCTTTTTAGAAATTGAAATAAAATTTGAAACTTTCGTCCAAGACAAAGTACAGATATTTTATTTTTGCATTTATTTTGTTTTTGTTTTTTTTTCCTTTTGGTCTGACATATTTTATTTGGTGCCAAAAATATATTTGGTTTGATATCCAACTGTATTTCTTTAGAAATTTATCTTATTTTGTAAATAGTCATACAGTGTGCGTACTGGTGCATGAGGTGAACTGGTATTTTTCCTTTTCTGTACTGGCATGATTGTGACATTTGCTGCTAAGCCGTACATATTTTTTAACCATTTTATTCTAATGCTCAGCCTGTCACCTGCATATGGTGCAATATAACACCTAAAATACACATTGAAAATGTAGCCAATGCATTGTGCTAAATTTTTCCCCGTTTTCCTTGATTTTCAGATCCAAAATGCAGCTGAGGAGCCGAGAGTGCTGTGCATAATCCAGGACACCACCAGTGCAAAGACAGTCAATGAGAGGCTGACTCTGAACCTGCCTGCTTCCACGACCCTCTCCAAACTTTTTGAAGATGTTGCCCACAAAGCAGGATATGTAAATGGGACTTTTGATCTCGCCTGGGGAAATACACCGGACATGGTTAGGACACTACTAAATTTACACATTCACTTTTGTTTGTGCCAGCATATGATAGGAATAGTTTCCCACATACATTTACCCAGCTCTCAGTGTAATTATGTATCTCATCTTAAGTTCTGTGATTGTTCTGTCAAATCAAAATGTTACGTCTAGGTAAAAGTTCCTTTTCAGGATTTCAGCATGATGCTGAGGTGGCACTTAATGGGTTGTGGATCAGGTATGGCCTGCAAAAAGGTGTTTTGTAGTTTGACTGCATGTTTAAAAAATGTGAGGTTTGCAGTCGGTAGAATTGATGTGGCACTAATCAACATTTTTAGATTAAAAATGGCTCAAATAGCTATATGTAATTTGATAGGGGTTGTTCATAGTGATTGACTCCCTGATAACTGTCACACAACTCTAGGGTTGGGTGGTGGTCATCTGTGTGTTTTCATATCATCATTTTATCAATACCAGTGATTACCAATAAACAATCTGATCACTTCTGCCAGGGGAACTGAAGTATGGGCGTGGGATGTCAGGAAACTTTCGCTCTTGTGGGGTATTTTAAATACAGCCAATTGCATAGCACAGCTGCTGTCATTACCCTGTATTTTGTGTCGGGAGGTTTTGCCATTCCATCTTTCTCTGCTACAAAGCAATGTGTATGAATGGTGAGAGCACACTTTTTTGGCTTTTTGCTTTTATTTGACAGTGGAGATTAAGATAGGATATGTGGGGGTTATAAGAGAGAGGGATATGACATGCAGCAAAGGGCAGTAGCTGGAGTCAAACAATAAATGTTGTGGATATGTGGCACACACAGTAACCATTTGGCTGTAAGGGCACTTATATTTTTGCGCAGAAATCTAGAATGAATCTATTCTCTTACTTCTGACTTAATTTTGTTTTCTGTTGTCAGTTTGTGTACATAATACTCCCTTTTCTTACATGAGCCCAGGCTAATCCTGCTGCTGACCCAGGCCAAAATCCAGGTGCCATGTCTGTTGTTATCTCACTGAATAAGTCAGTGGATTAAGCTACTGCTGGTTTCCACTGCAGCACTTTGCTGGCTCTTCCTCAGCTTGCGCAGGAGAAAAACAGCTACGTAGCATTGTTCACATGTTGACTTCAAGCTACTTCCCTTGTTCACATCAATACAGGGAATTTGCTGAAAATGGATTCAGTAGGGGTTTAAGTTTTTGTGTGAGTTTATGAGGTTTGTAAACTACTTATTTTGAATGTTTGCTGCCATTGTTTGTTTTTCTGCAGCTTGTTGACCTGAATAAGAAGGGTTCTTTATGTGATTTCACTCTGCGTCCCTCTAGGCACCACTGGACTATAACAGTGAGACATCCCTCTCAGATTCTGGATTTGAACCTGGTGGTAAGAGGAATTTCCTCCAAATTACAGACAAAGATGGAGAGCAACCGCAGATTGTGTCGGTGAGTGGTGCAGGATTAACTAGATGAGTTCCTTTTATTTCTTAAGTGATATCCAGGCTCAAACGGAATCTGCACCTGCAGAATTACACCACCACCTCCACAGATTTTGAAAAGAGAGTAGAAACTCACAGTATGTAACAGTTGTGTGATTTTGTGAATGCTTTTGGCATTTTACTAGTCAAGGATCTGACATTCACATCTACTTCATACCTTGATTTTCTGGTTGCACATACTGTATCTGTCTAGTGCTTCTTTTTCTCATACCCAACAATCTGTGACACTCCTCGTGTCAACCTTCTAGGGCTGTTCCCCTCAGTAGCCTATGTGAACAACCCAGGTTAATGTTTGTTAACAAAGATATTAATGTCTCCTGACAAGATTGTCTGAAACCGTGCACCATTATCTCTACTCCACTATCTGGTTTTGGAAACTATAGATATTTTATCAAAATGTTCCTCTCTGTCTGTTTATATCTGCAGGATGAGTCAGGAACTGCAGATAGCAGTGGACTGGATGACAGTTCTCAGGAGCGCTTTATTGGGCCTCTACCGAGGGACGGCACAGCATGGTGCAGTGGTGACTGCAGCAGTCCATCTTACTCCTACTCGTCCATCCTCAACAAATCTGAGACAGGTGAGGTTTGGTCGCCTGTTGAATATGTGCCATCAGTTCATCTGTCTAACCACAGCTGACTTCTTACTTCTTGTCTCTTGTCATTACTGTAGGCTATGTGGGCTTGGTCAACCAAGCTATGACCTGTTATTTGAACAGTCTTCTACAAACGCTGTACATGACCCCAGAGTTCAGAAATGCACTCTATAAGTAAGGATCTACATGCAGACGTCTTTGAGAATTTTCACTTTTGATGTAAATCTTAAAAATCTTTTATAATTTGTGTCTAATTTCAGCTGGGAGTTTGAGGAGTCAGAGGAGGATCCAGTCACCAGCATCCCTTACCAGCTGCAAAGACTGTTCGTCCTGCTGCAGACTAGTAAGAAACGGGCAATTGAGACCACTGATGTGACCCGGAGTTTTGGGTGGGACAGCAGCGAGGGTGAGCATTTGTGTTCCCCTGTCACTAGACTCACATGGATTGTCTGTATCTGACCGTGTGCCTCTTTTTTTGTAATCTTAATTACAGTTTTTGTGTGGTGTTTTTTTTTTTAGCTTGGCAACAGCATGACATCCAGGAGCTGTGCAGGGTCATGTTTGATGCCCTGGAGCAAAAATGGAAGCAGACAGAGCAGGTAGGATAAAGCAAGATGTTTTCCTGGATTTCTGACAATAAAAATTCAGTAGCCAGTCTCTGCTCCCTCCACGATAGGGGAAAAAAAAAAAAAAAAGATCTACTGTGGGAAAAATGAAGTGGCCTAGTAAGCCCCAGGGTTAGCAATGTCTTATTGTAGGAGTGACTTGCAAACACGTAGTTGTGTGTGTGTGTGTGTGTGTGTGTGTGTGTGTGTGTGTATATACAGCTGTGTGGTCAGTACACATGAACTCCTGATTAAGGCAAAATGAATTCATGTGATTGAGCCCTGTAAAAATAACATACAACTACGACAGATTAATTTCTTTTCAGAATTTTCAGTGTAGCTGTTTGCCATTACAGTAGTGAGAAACATTAAAAAAGTAAACTGGCTGAGGAGGACTGACTTTCATGCCTCCTGATCCTCAGGCTGACCTGATCAACCAGCTGTACCAGGGAAAACTTAAGGATTATGTTCGTTGTCTGGAGTGTGGCTATGAGAGCTGGAGGATTGATACTTACTTGGACATCCCTCTGGTGATCAGACCTTTCGGAGCCAGCCAGGCCTACGGCAGCGTGGTGTGTTTCTCTCCACATTTCATTCCTTTAACTTTTAAACACATTGGCAGCAAAGACTCTACCAGCGCTTAACACTCATTCATTAAAGACTGTCTTGAATTCAGTACTCGCAGCTCATTTTACTGCAGCTTGTGACCATTTAGACCATTTAGACCTTTTATCTATCTGGATCTGAAAATATAATTTTGCTGCCTTAGGAGGAGGCTTTGCAGGCATTCATCCAACCAGAAACTCTGGATGGGCCCAACCAGTACTTCTGTGAACGCTGCAAAAAGAAATGTGATGCTCGGAAGGTGAGCATACTGAAACTGTGACATGAGAGTCACGTTCACAGAATACAGTGTTCTGCTGTTGACCTTGATTCTTTGATAAATGTTTCTCTGA